GAGAGAGAGAGAGAGAGAGAGAGAGAGAGAGAGAGAGAGAGAGAGAGACTGCTGACATTCTGAGTTTGTGTGGGTTTTTTTTCTTTTCAAAGATAACTTCAAGAATTTCCTTTTTCCTTGTGTGAGTGTTGAGGGATTTTCTGTCTGCACTTGATTGCAAACTGCAGATTTCCTTGGGGTTTATGTTATTGGGTCCTTCATGTACACCAATATGAAGAATGATGAAGTTTTAACTGTATTGTATTTATGTTCATTCACATCTTTAACTTTGATTAAAATAAAAAATTAAAATCAAGGTTAAGAAGCCATCGTGCCTTTTGGTTTAAAGAAGTCTCTTCCTCATGCGTGTACACATGCTCGCACCCCCCCCCCCCGAAGAATGCAATGAATTAAAGAAGTGAAAGCAGTGATAAAATACATGTAGTTTGAGAGATGCAGTGCAACTCCTGTCAGCCATGAGAGCTGCAGTCTAACACTATTCGGAAGAACCTTTGTTCTCCCTCTTTGAGCAAAAGTATCAGAAGGTAGGCGATGGAGCAACAGAAACTTCCTGCAGGTTGGGTTTGGGTCAGCCTAGACAGAGGAGGCAAGCTGAGAACCAGAGCTTCATTGCCTTGAATTCCCTTATGGGAGGCAGGGTGGTGGTGGTTAGACTAACCTTGACAAATATGAGAGAAGAAAGGAAACCAGGTTCAGAACTAATATCCCAAACCATATTTGTCCTGCAAGTTCAAGGATCTCCAGCTCTCCTAAGAAGTCCGAGACGAGCTTTCATTGCTCCCTCACTGGGTCCCAAACCCATCATGCAGGGAACACATGAGCAGACAGTAGTGTTCATAGGTGCCCCATGGCAATTGTGTTTTGTGACATGCAGCAAGCAGGGTGGGCTATTTTCCAAAACAGAATAAGCAGGATTTCTGCTGTGGGTAGAAAGAAGAGACCATCTCAGATGGGAACTTCTGTAGGGGCCTTGTGTCATCCTTCCCCTTTCACTGACCGCAACTCCTGCCTATGTAAGCTGTGCTTGATGGAGGTTGGGGGTTGTGGCCCAAAACATCTGGAGGGCACATTGAGGAAGGCTAAGTTGAACTGGATCTATCTAGCCTGGGAGGGGTGGGGAGCTACATAGCCCTCTGCGGGTCAGATGCTGCCAGTGACCAAGCTATGCTTTGTTTTGGGAAACGGGTATGAAGGTTCTCTTACGCTTGTGTGTTTCCTGTGGGCAGGTGGTTGGCCCTGCTGTGAGCAGAAGGCAAAGTAAGATGGACCACTGGCTTGAGCCAGCAGGGCTTTTCCGAAATTCATATTGTCTTACCTACCCCTGGCCATTTTGCTGTTCTTCAAGTGCTTTCAGGAGAGAAAGTGGAGATCTTCTGGCATGGGCTGGCTGTCACCAAGCTAAGGCCCTTCCTCCCATAGCTGATTCTGTGAGTAGAACCTAACCTTCGCTTGACCCTACCCCTTTGTGCTTCAAGACTGAGGCTGTAGAGGGAAACACTAAGGTTTTGTTTTCAGAATAGGAACAGTAAAGTTTTCTGACGGATCATCAGGGTACCTTATTTGATGCTAATCCATATTTGCGCAAGTGCACACTTGCAGATGAATGCATGCAAAGTATGGTTAAAAAAGATTACGTCAGTGAGCAGACCACAGAACAAAGCTGTACACCCATACCTATTTTACCTGGCTTGCATGCATGCTCACTTGTTCGCTATCTCTCTCTCACACACACCTGTTTGTAGGTTTGTCCTGTCCAATTCCAATTTAAATGCTCTTACCCATAGCAAAAACCTGGACAACAATCTGAGCAGGTAGGCACACAGGTCTCCTGGTTGTACACACTGTATTTATTTTTATTACATTGATACCATGCCTTTCTTCCTCTTGCAAGGAACCCAACTATCTTGCAAGGTTCTCTCAGTTGCATTCACACAACCACCCTGTGAGGTAAGTTAGACTGAAAATCTGTGACTGCCCAGTCACCAGTGAGTTTCAAGGCTGAGTTGGGATTTGAACCCAGATCTCTGGACTCCCAGCCCACTGCTCTTCAACCACTACATCTGGAATATTTGCATTTCTTTTCAAATTATAATCATTTTGAAACGTGTGTCCACACACAGAGATGAGCACATCCAAATCATTCTAAGCACCGCCCTCCGCGGACCCCCGAGCCTCGTTTTAATTTTCTCAGCGCCCTGGATCGACGTGCTGGTGCGTCGCGGGGCAGCCCCGCGCCTCGCGTGACCCGGGGACGCTTCGCCGCGGACGGAGCTCGCAAGGCCCCGGCGTCCCTTCCGGGCCGCGTGGACGGGCTCGCTTCACCGTGCCGGGCAGTCGCTGAAAGGGTGCAGGGCGCGACGGCGCGGTCGAGGCGGCCGCAAGGCCAGCGCTGCAGCGCCCCCGCCCGAGAGCCGGCTCGGAAGATGGCGTCTTGCCCACGCGCCCGCCCGCCTGCCGCGGAGCGCGGCCCCGCTCGGGGCGCCCCAGGCCCCGGCGCCGCTGCCTCCGCCTCCGCCCCCGCCCTCCTCCTCTGGGCCGAGTGCCCGGGCCAGGACTGCCCCTGCGGCGCCGCGGCCCGGGGCGGGTGGGCTGCAGAGAGGGCGGCGACTGGCTCTGCTCCGGGGCGCAGCGGCCACGTCTGAGGCGCTCTTTCCCCGCGGTTCTGCCCGTCACGAGAGGCAAGCGGCATGTCTTTCATTCCCGCGGAGGAGACCTCGGACTTCCCCCTCCAGAACCTGCCCTACGGAGTCTTCTCCACAGAGGAGAAGGTAAGTGAGGAGTGGGCTGACTCTCACGCTGGCTCTGGCTTGGCTTCCCGCCGGCAGAAGGGGCTCCGGCCGCAGGGGATCGGGCGCAGCGCCCCCACCCGCTTAGCGCCAATGCATGGGCGCAGCTCCGGATTTTTCTAGTGGAAAAAAGGTGAATAAACAAATAGATACGTGGAAGTTCCTATTTCCAGCTGCACAAAATGTTTCAGTGGCTCAAGTAACTGTGCAGGTGTCCAGCTGCATATCAGAATAAACCTTGGCCACTCTCATTGCCTGCAGATTTGGTGGGGGGGGGGCGATGCTGTACATGATCTGCCGGGCTGGAGGCTTTGCTCAATTGCGTTAGAAAAGTTGTAGCAACACTTGCGATGGCCTAATGATCTGTTAATGCACCTGCACAGAGCTCCTTCCTTTTCCCCACGTTAAAGGAAGTTATTAAAAGTCAGGAAAACGTTTAAGCTATTAATTTTAAACTATTGATTTCCAAAGGTGACTGTGTTTTGATGTCATTTCAGGTCTCCACAAAACTGTCACTGATGTGCTAGTTAATGATACCAGATCTATGAATGCATGTGGTTCTATGAATGCTTGTCATAGGTTTATGAGAGAGCTTTCCCCAGCCTGGGACCTTCCGAATGAGTACTAGTTCTCAGATCCTTTGAGCCCCAGTTTCTACTTTGAAAGTAGTAGGTGCTGTTGTTTTGCCTGCCTGTGCACTTGCATGCTTTTGAAGGCAAGGTGGGTGGACCCACACAAGTGATTATGGAATATTTTGTTTGCATTACAGAGTCTCAGGGAAGGAAGCTGAAATCCAAAAAGTTGTAACTTGTAGTACATTAACAAAGCAAATTCTCGGTGCCTCCAAAGGATGATAAAGGCACTACGATGTCTTAGAGGAAATTAGGACAGTTGGACCACATGACTTAGGTCTTAGTACAGGTTGTACATTAACTTGCCTGTTTGCAGAAGCTCCTGCTGAACAAACATTTCAGGGGTAAAGTTTTTAAGAGTTAGAAGGATCTGCCCCTGCTGCCCACTTGACAGGACACACAGCTTACAGGAGCCCCAGTATGAACCCAGTATGGAATGAATAAAGAGTGGTGTTGGTGGGTTAAGCTGAAAGCAAAAGGAGAAGGAGAGGAAGTACCAGCATGTTTGAGCTTAGAGCTCTACCTGGCACTGGAACATTTTAGGATATAATAGGGGGACCTCAGGAAACCACCAGTCAGTGATTGGAAAAAGGGGGTGGGATCAGAGGAAGAATTGTGGCTTTCTTGGGAATCCCAGTCCTAATTTCAATGAATCTGACTTGTAAATTGAGCAAATGCCACAACCTTCCCTTCTTTTGTTTTATTCTGTTCTCTCTGTTTGTTTATGCTCAGTGAAAGCCATAAAGTATAAATGCACAAATGCCTCCCTCCTTTTCCCCCATTGTAGCCCAAACCCAGGATTGGAGTAGCTATTGGTGACCAAGTGCTGGACCTCAGTGTTATTAAGCACCTGTTTGATGGACCCCTCCTTTCCAAGAATCATCACGTCTTTGAACAGGTATTTCATTGGCAGGACTGGCCCGGTGGTCTGTGAAGGGAAATCCAAGCAGAACAGCAGTTCTTCTCAGTAGTATGCAGGAGAAGAGCCAGTACTTGTTACTGAATTGCTGCCATTCTGCAGTTTGATATGGAGCCAGGGCTGGCCAGTGCCGGAGATCAGCATTGCAAAATGTGGTGTGGCAAGGTAATTTTAGACTCTGGACTTCAGGAACATAGGGTGGTGTGGGAGAGCACTGTAGTTGGCAAGGTTTGTGGCTTTGCTTTTTTCAAAATACATTAAGCTAGACCAGGGGTCAGCAACCTGTGGCTCTTTCATCCCTCTGCTGCGACTCCCTGTCGCTCAAAATATGCATCACAACCACCAATATGTGACACCCACTGGCACACGATTTATTGAGCTTTTCAGAAGAAAACAGAACGTTTAATGGTACGTGGGCAGATTCATTTGCTTTCACTGCTGACGAGACTGGCTTACCAATATGCTTACTCGTAATATGTTTTTGTTGCATGCAGAAATGAAAATTTGTTTTCTCTGTAGCAGTTCATTGATTTTATAACCAATGACAGACACACTATAGTTTTTTTATACATAGCATAATGGTAAAAAACGATATATCTTATTTTAGATGTCAGAAGGGTTTTGTGGCTCCCGGTGTTTTCTTTTCTGTGGGAAAGGGGTCCAAATGGCTCTTTGAGTGTTTAAGGTTGCCGACCCCTGAACTAGACCTACTCAGCCTCTCAGGCTGAAAGCAGCTCGGCATGCCTGCCTTATGAGCATCTCCCCAGTTGCACATTTGCTTTCATCCTATGCGTTTGCAGGAAACCCTGAACCATTTCATGGCACTGGGCTGGGAAGCATGGAGGGAAGCCCGAGCTGTCCTTCAAAAGCTACTCTCTGCTGAAGAGCCGACACTGAGAGATGACCCAGAGCTACGCAAAAGGTAAAGGACTGGCGAGAGATGAAGTGGCCAGAGCAGTGTCTGTGCGCTCACTGTGATGCCACCAAAACACAAGAAAGCACAAGACTGAGGCACAATGACCCGCAGTATGCCCTCAACACTCCGTGGAACTTGCTTCTGAGAAAATATGTATGGATTGTTCTGACAGTTTCTTCAGTTGCTCATTTCTGTAAATTTGAGCCACCACTCAAAATATGGCTGTCTTTCCGTTTCATTATGACATTTAAAGGCAGCTGTAGTTCAGAGCTAAGCTTGAGAAAGAGCTGAATAAAACACCCAACAATTGGAATGGTACTTCAGTGCCCTGCATGTCTTCTTGTTCCCACTGTGCCCTCTATGATCAACAACTGCAGAATATATTATAGAAAATAAGGTCATGCAGGTTATTTTGCTATCCATTATTTATACATGCAACAGAGTTTGGCTTTTCTTTCCCCCAGTCTTTCCCCTAGAAAATGTGCATGTAGCAATTGGAATTTAGCTTAGGAATGATTTGTAAGCACAGATGGGCTCCATGTAGGCACAAAGATGGAAAGAATGTTTGTTTAAACGAGGAATGGGGAACAAGTGCGCTGAGAGTCGCTTTCTGTGTGAACCAATCTAAACTGCACTTCCTGGGCTGCTTTGTGGATTAGCCTTCACAGTGTGCATTTCTCTAAATTCTGCAATGCAGCTCTTGATGCAATGCATGTGTCCAAAAAAGTATATGTTTGGAAAAGTTGCTTACAAGCTGGATATGTTCTGAGACATTGGATATGAAAAATTAGAATTTTCAAATGATTTAAAAAGTTTGCAGGAAATTGGATGGAAGGATTGAATGTGTGAAATTGGGAGGCCCTGGTAATTGACTGCCCACATGAAGTTAAACCCTCACCTTCCTCTTTTACTAGAATCTGAACACTGGGTTGCTATTTCAGGCTGGAAAAGCATCTCCCCCCTCCCGCACCTCCCCCCAGCCATACACACACACCCTTCTGTTATAAATAGTAGGATACAGATAATATATATAATATTGAAAGCAAAACCTAAGGACAGCCTAAATGTGGTCCATGCTCTTCTCCCTAAGAAGAAATAGACCATGTTTTTGTGGTGTGCATAAGACATTTTGAAAAGGTTGCCATGTACCAACAACTTTAGTTAGTTAGTTAGTTAGTTAGTTAGTTAGTTAGTTAGTTAGTTAGTTAGAGAATTTGTATGCCATCCCATTGCATAGCCTTGGGACAGCTTACATAAAATAAAATAAAATCCAGATCCATCCTGGCTGCAGATTAAAACCTATAAGCTGATATTAAAAGTTATTAAAATATTGTTGAAATAAAACGGTCTTAGCCTGGCACTGAAAAACAAATAACGACGGCGGCAGGCGGACCTCTCTGGGGAGCGCATTCCATAGGCGGGGCACCACCGCAGAGAAAGCCCTCCTCCGGGTACTTTGCCTCCTAATGTCTTTCATGGAGGATTCCCGGAAGAGGTAAGTCTCAATACCTTAAAGGTACAACTGACAGGACAGGAGAAAACCCCTTTCTTCCTGTTGAAACATGTATAAGATTGTGCCCTAAAAGTCCCAGGAGGAAATTCCTGAAAATGCAACTTCCAGGGCATCCATATCTGGCATGGAGATCAATGGACTAGGATGGAGTTTGCCAGGAGAACTAAACGTTCCTTCTGATTTCTTCTTCTCCTTCTCACAGAGCATTTGTACCTCAGGCTTCTGCTGTAATGCACCTTCCAGCTGAAATTGGTAAGTCACCTGTGCTAACAGCATATTCCCCATCAGGACTCACTGGGGTGCCTGAATTCTGAGGATGCCGAATGTCAAGAGACATGTTTTTTAAAAGATCCATTTCCCTGCACTACAGGAATCTGCACCAGTCTTCCCCAGCTTGATTCCCTCTAGGTCCTTTTGATGGCAGCTCCTAGCATTCCTGACCAGCCTGGGGCTGGTGGGGATTGTAATCCAGGGCACCTGGAGGCACACTGTTGCTCTGCCCTGCATTCCTGAAGGGAGGAGTAGGGTCTTTCACCCGAGGTCTGAAGTGACGTGGCCCCAAATGCTACGAACAGGATGTACAGAATGGCTCGGGGGTGTAGTTGGAGCTGGAGACTTGCAACTTCGCCAGTCTCCCCTCAGGGGGCTGAGTCCCCATGCCTGTGCCACAGGTTATCCCCTGCACATGCACTCATTAGCAGAGTAAGCTGCTGAGCTTGTGCCACAAAAGCACATGGGATGCATGCCAGGAACAGGTGGGAGGACAAACTACAGCAAACTGAAGAACGCTCCATCCTCTTTTGGGTGTAAAGTGGATTAGCCATTGAACGATCAACCCACCATGCTATTTTCAGCATGTTGTCTCAATATATGCAAATCATTATTATCATTAATTGTATACCGCCTGCTGTCGGTGATGGGGACTCAAGGCTGTGCAAACCAGCCCATCCCATAAATGTCAGGGTAAGCATTTGGAGAAGTCATGTCAAGCCAACAGAAAACTTAGTTAAACCATTTCCCACAGAGGCCACCAGGGGACAGTCAGAAACAGTGTAAGGAATTACTGTGGAATAGCAATATTAGAGAGAGAAAACCAATTTTAGCTTTCTTTGGTGAGAGCAGGAGCAAATAGATGGAAATCAAGCTGTGGGTTTGGATCCAGGCTTAATCATACTTGGAGCAGACCCAGTGAGATCACAGTCGCATCCCAGCTGGTCTGATCCTGGAAAAGGCAATGCACATTGTGTATGTTGAGATGTTTACTGTATTTTATTGAACCTGTATTTCATGCTGTATTTTCATTATTGCATTTTTGGTTTTATGAATTGCTGTGAACCATCCAGAAAGCTTTGACCTTTGGATAGCAGAGAAATGATCAGCACAGACTTTCCAAATCCCTTTCTGCCTCTTCTCAAAGTTTTAGCTTTCATGCAAACTGTTCCATGCTGCACCTATCAATTTTTTGTCCATCCTTGTCCTTCCAGGTGATTACACAGATTTCTATTCCTCCTGGCAGCACGCTACAAATGTCGGGGTGATGTTCCGTGGAAAGGAGAATGCCTTGATGCCAAACTGGTCAGTTGCTTCTCCCCACCCTCCTCTAAATGCAGATTTGGTGCCACAGTTCTTGGGATCACCTGGGGTTTAATTTGAGGGTTATTTATTATCTGCATGTGATTAGTGAGGTAATATTTGTGAAAAGTTTTGACCTCCATTCTCTGCCAGTTCCTAGAAATGGCGAGGGGGGGTCCTCTTTTCTTTCCTTTAAATTTTTACTATAAAACATCCAAATTTTCACTTCCAGAGCTAATACACAAATGGAAATGGAATTACCATTCTTTTGTTGTTGTTGTTAGTTGAGAACTCGTTTCCAACCCATTGCGACCCCATGGACAACATCCCTCCAGGCCTTCCTGTCCTCCACCATCCCCTAGAGTCCACTCAAGCTCACACCAACTGCTTCAGTGACTCCATCTAGCCACCTCATCCTCTGCCGTTCCCTTCTTCTTTTGCCATCTATTGTTCCCAGCATTAGGTTCTTCTCCAGAGAGTCCTTCCTTCTCATTACGTGGCCAAAGTATTTGAGTTTCATCTTCAGGATCTGACCGTCTAAAGAGCAGCCAGGGTTAATCTCCTCTAGGACTGACTGGTTTGATCTCCTTGTGGTCCAAGGGACTCACAGGAGTCTCCTCCAGCACCACAATTCAAAGGCCTAAATCCTTTGGCACTCAGCCTTCCTTATGGTCCAGCTTTCACAGCCATACATTGCAACTGGGAAAACCATAGCCTTGACTATATGCACTTTTGTCGGCAGGGTGATGTCTCTGCTTTTTAGTATGCTGTCTAGATTGGCCATAGCTTTCCTCCCCAGGAGCAAGTGTCTTTTAATTTCTTGGCTGCAGTCCTCATCTGCAGTGATCTTGGAGCCCAGGAAAATAACACTTCTGCCAATTTAGTGATTCAGGTCTGCAATAACAAATGCATACATGAGAGAACATTGCTTGCAAAGGATGCACAACAATTTGTGTGCAGACATATATTTGAATAATTGCAAAGCCCTGTGGAAATGAGACAGAAGAATATGGTGCTAGGGAACAAAATGCAAACTTTATGAAAAGTGAAATGGATTTGTCCATCTTTATCATTGGGGTCCCCTCTTAAGAATCACCAAAAAAGAAGACAAAGGAGGGGTACTAATTTGCATACTTCTATATGCTAATTCATAGGGATAGATGTAAGAGATTATTGCACTGTAGATGGAACTGTGACAGATGTATTGCTAGTGCAGAAGACTGTAGCCAGGTGAGCCGCTGCTTCTCCCTTTCCTGCCAGGTGCTCACCAGTGATGGACAACATCAAGGCCCCTGTGCCCTCTTACCTGCCTGCCCTTACACAAGATTTAGATGGGGCAGTCCTTCAGGTGCTTCGTGACCTGCCCAGAGAGCTTCAGCTGTTGGGTGGTACATAAATTAAATGAATATATACATATATCTCCCTTCAAATAGAGGTCTGTTCTCTGATAGCCGTTCAGATAGAGAACTTACAGCAACTCGTTAATATTTCTGTCTTGCAAGGTTACACTTACCTGTTGGGTACCATGGACGTGCCTCTTCTGTAGTCATATCTGGGACGCCGATCCAGAGGCCAGCAGGACAAATGCAACCTGATGACAGTGAGTCTCTTCCCCGTCCCCTTTACTGGGTGGTTTCACTTTTGTGGAGAACAGTGAATCGATGAGTGCGTGGCACACTACTGTGCACTCATGTGTCGCCACTTTTCTTCAGTTTTATTTCATGATTATTGGGAAATGATTATTATAATATTCTTTCATTGCAGGAAGGCACAATGACAGTGATCAAGGGGCTAGAGCTACTCCTCTCTGAGGAAAGGTTGCAGAAGTTGGGATCATTGAGACAGAAAAAAGAGTGGTGGGGAGAGACATGAGGGTGCTGCACAGAAGGATGCCCTTTCATGCCTCTCCTCACTTTCTTCTTTCCAATTTGAAGGACCTCAACTGTTATAACACAATATGAAGGCAGACATTATTCTCCCTCTCTCATAATGCTAGCATTCCATAGAATCATCCCATAAAGCTGGCTGGTGGGAAATTCAGGACAGATTAAAGGAAGCACATCTTCACACAGTGCAAAGTTCAGCTGTGGAACTTACTTCCACAGGATGGAGTTATAGCCACCAATTTGGGTGAGTTTAAAAAGGGTTGGAGCAACTTCATGGAGGAGAAACTATCGAGATCCCCCAGTCTTAATTGCTACATGTTCCCTCCGGTATCAGAGGCAATGCATCTGCATATACCAGTCTCTGGGGAACCGAGTGGAAGGGTGCTGGTACACTCCTGTCCTGCTTGCCTGTTTCCTGTGGGCATGACAGTGGCCACTGTGTGAAGAGAATGCTGGACTAGGTGGACCTTGGGCTGATCCAGGAGGACTCTTCTGATGTGTGGAATATTTTTCTGAACAATAATGTGCTTATGTTTTGTGTTTGCTTTGTTTAAACTGCAGCTAAGCCTCCAGTGTTTGGTGCCTGCAAACTTTTGGATATTGAGTTAGAAATGGTAGGAATTTATCTTGTGTCCTCCTACTTCCCCTCAACTCCCCATTTTACTACCCCTGAGCAAAAATGATTCATCCTATTGATGAATAATCTCACAGAGATGCCTGTGTTATTTTAGCAGTGAAAACTACACTGCATGGAGACTTGGCCAGGAGGCAGAGGAGAAAGATGAAGTTAATTTGTTAATTTGTAGGGGACGTCATGCCCATATTCTTGTAACTTGGAGGTGCTTTTATTTGATTTTATCTATTGAATTTCTGTCCTGCCCTTCAATGAAAAATAAACTCTCAGGACAGCTTAAGCTCAGTAAAAGCATATCAGAAAACCACAATCTAAAAATTAAAACAATGGAAGAATAGAACATGCCTCAAGGAGCAAGGTAAAATCATAGTCAGATGTTTTAAAAGGCCTTAAAGTTAAAAGTAGTCTTCATTGGTCATTGAAAAGACATTAAAGTACCTGGCAGGCGGGTTATGGATCCAGAGATTTCCTGGGCATGTCCTGATATGACTGAAACCTGTCTGTGGAGAGCTACTGCCAGTCCATGTGCACAATACTGAGCTAGATGAATCAATGCCCTGACTTGGTATGCTCCCCTGAAAGTATTCCAATATCTGGGAGCCACAGCCAAAAAGGCCCTGTCATTGGTCATCAGCCACCTCACTTTAAAAAGTGGATACATGTAAAGGAGGATTTCAAATGGCTATTTCAGGGCACAGGCTGGTGCAGATGTGGAAAAGAGCAGCAGCCATCAGTGTTTTTCACTTGCTACCTGACAAAGTTTTCCTGTGCATTTTTTCAGGCCTTCTTCGTAGGCCCTGGAAACAAAGCCGGAGAGCCCATCCCCATCCGTGAAGCGCACAAGCACATCTTTGGGATGGTACTCATGAACGACTGGAGCGGTAATGCATCCTGTGCTGGTTCTGCAGGGCAGACGTCCTCTCAGCGCATTCTCTGTCTAACAGGATGGCACAGTTTGGAAGAGGGCCTCAATCTCTTCCCGCCATGGTCACATTTGCCGATCATGCTAAACCATGGCTAAGCAGGGCAGCCCCTTGCCTATCACATAATGGGCACAGATTTGCATAAAATGTGCACACGCTGATGTATCTGCACTGATGCACATTTAGAAATCAGGACTCCAGTGTAAACAGAAGCGGGATCTCCCACACTGTCAAGGAAGACTGTGGCTGGGTGGCTTTGCGTGTGCTGCAAGACAGCGTCGGGACCCTGTTCTTTTTTCTTAAACCGGACTTGGGCTGCGCAGCCAAACAGCCCCTTTAAGTAGAGGACCAAACTGACAATCCTCCATCCAGAGAACTGCCCTCTGTAAAAGGCTTACCCTATGGCTAAACCCAATGCCAGCTCAAAGTCTGGTGGCGGTGGGGGGTCCCTTGGGCAAGACACCCTCAGTGTGCCCCCTCCCTCAACAGGTCTGCCTTCTCAGTACCATTTTCACCAGCCACACTGGCTCCTGGCCTTCTTTCTCATCACTGGTACCTCTCCCTTTCTTGATGGGTGGGAGGCCAGGGAGGAGGCAGGCCATGCTGCTAAGCGAGAGGCCTGAGCGAGAGGAAAGTGAACAAGCAGGCTGCCACAGGGGAGAGGAGTCCTTTGTCCATGGGCCCCTGTGAAGAGTGGGCCCTTGGCAGGGGTCCAGCCATACCTACCTTTGGCACCGGCCCTGGTGAAGAACGACATGCATGCACACACAGGCTCTGGCTCATGCCCCTCTCCCCCTGCTCCAAGGCTGTGGGGGAGCAGTTCAGGAGTTTTCACCGTCCGTTTTGGTTGACTGTGGCTTGCTGTGTTGTCAGGGGCAAAACACGGCAGTAAACATTAACCAAGATTAGTTTCCCAAAGTTAGTGAGTTTCTGGCTTGTTGAAACCAAGCCTAGTGAAGGTGAGTCATAAGATCTAGGTGCGCATGATGCAGCAAATGGTGGTTCATGGAGAGTGGCCACAAAAACTTCCAAATGTGTCTTGGCTACAGTGGGGGGAGGGCACAATTCCAAGCTTGCCATAGTTTGTTCCTGCTTGTGCATGTCACGCTGACCCATGGGAGAGATTAGTGTGATGTACAAGCACAAATGAGTGGTAGAAATCATTAGTGATAAATACTCAGAATGACCTTGTGTTTTGAGGGGGGTTTTGGTCATGGCCATGGGGTTCCAGTGATGCTTTCAGAAGATTTATAATGTGATGCACTGGGAGATTTAGTGGTGGTGAAGCCCCTGACTGTGTTTGAATGAGCATCCCTAGTGTGGATCAGGCACATGGGGAAGCTGCCATTGGCTGTATTCAGACAGAACAACAAATCACACTTGTTGAGCCAAACTGTGGATCTGATGTTATGAATCTATGCCTGTTCATAAGCCATCGTAAGTGATGGGTTGTTTAATCATGGTTAGAAGCTACTTTGCAAAGCATAACTGGTGCTCACTGAGGTTGCTGTTATTTCTGAATGTGTGACATTGACGAACCATTAGATCCATCCATCTTTCAGAAGAAACTGCTCCGGCAGCTTGAAGAGGGTGGTGAATTGATGAACCTGGGTCTGGAGAAGGTGGGAAACAAACAAACAAGCAACTCTAAATCATCTGGAAGCTGAAACTGTAGAGGGGAGATTTTCCTGCTGCTTGGGCTGATGTCTGAATGGAGCCGTGGGCTGAGCTGCTGAATACAGGATGGCCCAAGGGGTCAAGAGAAGGAAGAACAGCAAAAATGTTGGATGGGGATGGGCCTGAGAAGAGGGCAAAGGGAGCTGGCGTGGAGGATAGGAAAATCATGTCAGATGGAGGAAAGCATAGCGCAGGTTGCCCCAACAGAGCTTCCTGAAGAGGTTCCAGACCACTTTCCATCAACTCCAGCCAATGGTAAGGGAAGCCAGGAGCTGCAGTGCAAAACAGTCAGAGCACTGCAAGATGAGGAAGGCTGGCCTGGAAGAATGAGGCAGAGCCAGGGGGGTAGTCTAGAGGGAAAGGGGAGTTGAGAGGTGGGCTGAATGCAGAGCGGGGACTCAGTTCCTGATTCCGATACCAGAGCAGTGGTGTACTCAAAGGGGAGATGCCGGGAATGCACCTCCGGGTGCTTTTCCTCTGCAACAGAGTGGTGAGAACGCCTGCTCGCTGCACCAGGGCAGCTAATGGATCCTTGTTTGCTTTGGCACGTCAGGTGAGGTGGCTTCATGTTTTGCTGTGGTTCATGACAGACTAGCCCAGAGGGAGCCAGAGAATGAGGGAACCAGCTAAGCAGAGGCCGGCTGCCACTTTCCTTTTCTTTGATCGGGTTCCCAAATTACACTAGCAGTCTTAAAGGTGAATCCACCCTCCTGAGCTGACTTGCATTTTCTGCTCAAGAGTGAAAGGTGACGTTTCTGCTGGGTGAAGATCTTTGGCTAAAAGTTGAAGCTGCGCAGTCAGAAGTAAGCAGCACAGAAGAGCTTGCTCCCAGATAAACTATATCTGGACTGCATGACCCTTGCAAATTGGACCATGTACTGTGCACTGCTGCTTTTGTGTCTGTGTACAGTCAAGATGAGTTCTTGTACTTCAAAATTCACCTTGACACCGCTGAACTAGGAACATCTCTGGCCACAGTCCTAAAGCAGTCATTGCTCTGGCTTAAATGCACCATGTCCTGTCTTCCTTCTACAGCTCGTGACATTCAGAAATGGGAATATGTTCCCCTGGGACCCTTTCTGGGCAAAAGTTTTGGCACTACCATCTCCCCATGGGTGGTTACCATGGAAGCCTTGATGCCCTTTGCATTGCCGAATCCCATCCAGGTATGAGAAACAAGAGCAGAAGCATCCCATGTGAATGTGTGGACAAATGTGTGAAGAAACAGGGTTGCTTGTCAGAGGCACAGCTGCTCAGTCCATTGCAACAGGTGTAAAAAACTGGAGATTTTTGGCTCTGCTCTACCAGCATTTTAGAGAAAGCTGATCCCCAATCATCTCCACCCTATCCTAACAAAATCATAAGATGCCAAGGGATTGATTTGACCAATTCCCTGCTTTCCTCTGCCTTTTAAATTTCATTCCTTTTTATTCCCAACCAAAGCAAAGCTATTCTTTGTTCTGACTGGTACCAGCATTCTATAAGCTTGCTGGTTTTGATTAGGCAGTTCTCAGCCTTTGTCTTCGTCTAAATTACAAATGTCTAAATTTTTACACACCAGCGGAGTAGCCCAAATATGCAGAATGCGCTGCATTATTTTGGGGTGATGCTGTTTGGCTGCCAAAATGATATGCATTCAGCCACGTGACTTTGATGCTTCTTATGTCTTTTCAAGAATCCCAAGCCACTGCCCTACCTCTGTGATGATCAGCCATATACTTTCGACATAAACCTCTTCGTTGCTATTAAAGGTATGGCCCTCTGTCCTGGATACATATTAGTTCTAACTAGAGTTGCTAGCCAAAGCACTCTAAAATAAGGAACATACTGTAAGAAAATTATGTGTTACTTATCACACATTAGCAGTACTTTATATGATTAGATAAGTCATTGTAATAATGTATTAAACTGAAGTTGCTCTATGGTACATTTACAAAAGTGTGTGTTGATGCTAAAATAAATTAGCAGAAATCTTGCACTCTCCGAAAGTGTAAAACTGGTCCTCAAGTCTGCAGAATCCACATGACTCAGAAAAAGCTGGTCCGTGGCAGGATCCCCAGGTCTGGATTGTAGATACCTGAACTCACTTGAATCTCTTAAGGATTTCTCTGGGATGCCTGAGTGCATCTCCCAAAAAAACAGGTTTGCAAATAAAGATGTGCTCACTGAAATAAGGAACATTTAAAAAGTGTAGACAACCCTGTGAGGTAGGCTAGGCTGAGAATCAGAAATTGGCGCGAAGTCACCTTGTTACATGCTGTCAAGATGCCTCTGACTTGTGGTGACCTGGTGAATGGAAGCTCCCCACATTGTCCTGCCCCTGACAGCCCCGCTCTGCTCCTGCACCACAAGGCTGTGGCTCCTTTATGGAACCGAGCCATCTCCTCTTGGGCCTTCCTCCTCTTCTGCTTTCAATGTCTTCTTCTAGTGAGCTTCATAAAGTTATGACGGAGTGGGAACTAGAATTTGGAACTCCTCAACCCCAGTCCAACACTCTCACCACTACAGCACACTGACTCTCATACGTGCGTTTTGTACATGTGCATCCCATGTCACCCTGTGCTTTTTCAGCTGGAAATCTGCTGAAGAATCTGCAGAATCTGGAAGTGTGCACTCTGAAGAATAACAGTGTTCCACTCCATTTGACTAGACAAAACATGCTAGAAAATGCCCAACGAAGATTACAGATTCAAGAAGCAGAATGAGGAGGAAATACCCTAGAAGTTGGAAAATGTATTTTCTATTAATCCGACCATCCATAGGCTCCTTTTGCTTGTCCTCTTTCTTTGGTTTGCCTGCCTCCCCTCTCTGCTGTTAGGTTTGCCACCCTCCTTTTCCCAGTCTGGTGTCTGACCAGCTGAAGATCACTGCAGTGTTGCTGGGGGTTTTGGTTTTGGTTTTGGTTTGTCTTAAGAACAGAAAAGGGAAGAGGAGGAAGAGAATGCTGCTGTCTCCCAGCACTGGGGGCGGGGGGAGGGGGATGTGCTTGTGGGCCCCTTCACACACAGGCTCTTCAGGAAAAGGAGAACCCACCCTGTACTACTTGGACTGCTTCTCTTTGAAGCTGTATGTAATTGTGATGATTCATTTTATTTAAATACAACCAGTGGCTGAAGCTCTCTGGCTTTTTAGCAACAGCTCTCAGAAACGATCCAATGCAGTAGTGATACAATCAAAGCAGAACAGCATAAAATGCAATGCAAATTAGCATCTGTGTAGCTTTTGACCCGGAGCAGATGTCAAATGTTAGATGTTGGTCCTGTCCTGTGGCTATGGGATACTGAACAAGTTAGGCAAATGTGCTTAGTTTGTATTTATATTGATTCTAGGAAGAGAGGCACCCAGGCACAGGTTGTTGGATTGTAGCTGAACATTGGAATGTGCAGTTACACTTATTACAGACAATGTTTGTTTGTTTGTTTGTTTGTTATCAGGTAATGGAATGAGCAAACCTGTTAATATTTGCTGCTCAAACTTTAAAGTAAGGATTCTTTTTTCCATGTCTATTTTTTGTTTATTGCATTCTTGACTGAAATGGGGTTAGGATGCTTGGGCAGGGTTTTTAGCCTTTGTGTGAGCAAGCTGAATGCCATCATAGGGCTCACATTTATCTGTCTGAGCACACATCTTGTGCACCAATTCCCTGGCTCTGTTGGCTGAGTTGCAATGTATCTCCAGTTCCATAGATAGCAAAAATTTCATAGATGGTTGCCATTAACTCCTGCAGGTGCTAAAAATACTGCTTTGAAGGGCACTGGTGGAAGGAGGGAGAATATCTTGACCCTGACTCTGAGCTCAGGCACATCAGGGGGAAGGATAAATGGTCTCAATTTGCCAATCAATTGAACTTGCCCCACTTGCAATCCTGAACACAAATGCAAACAGGAGTACATGTTTTGAGAAGGAGACTAAATTTTAAGTGTTGCTGATTCAAGATCCCTAGTACTAGTAGCAGTCTCAGAAGTAAGGTTAAAATACCAATTCCGCAACACACAAAAGTTTGGTTCAGATGATCCCTCGGGACTTCATAGATCATTGTTTATGAATTTTGGGCTGAGCAGGGCACCTTCCTCCTCCAAGATGCCCAATTTGATGTGAAGATCCTTGACTTGAACTGATGCATTGAACACAATTGTGCCTGTAGAAAATGTGCATTTAAAAAAAGAAGAGAGATTGTCATGCTTCTCCATGGGGCAAGACTGTGGGTGTTTCAAAACATGCATGAAAATGCACATTTTCCCTGTTTGAATGGAACAAAAAACCAACAAGCATGGGAACGACTCCAGCTATGAGTGGAGTTTAGAGGCCCTTCCGGAATCAGAGCAGCTCTGTTTCTTGTCGGAAATCATTGCATGTTTTGACCACACCCTGGGGCTGCCTTTCAAAACATCCAGTTGGATTTGCTTGCTTTTTGCTCTAGAAATCAATGCCAGCCATTTATGGGGTAAAATAAAAACTCTGCTATCAGTGGCACCATTAGCATGGGCAAGATACTTGACTTCCCCATCTGTTGGGATTATATTTGGAAGAATCCTTTCAGGAGCTCACTATTGGGGAGAGAGCACTGTGGAATTGCCCTGAGGGGCTTTAATCTCATGCTCATTATGTCCTGGTTTCTGCCTGACAAATGGCTCAGGCAGAGGCAGTGGCTCTGTGCAGAACGCTTTGAAAAGGTTTCCTGAGAAAGGTACATTTAAGGAGGGAAACTGTAACCATGAAAGCTCTGCACTCGGGATCAGCACATGAGAAGAGCTGCACCAGGGCTGCTTAGGTGGAGAACAAGATGTAAGAGGGACCACAGAACATCCCCTAAGAATATCTATCTACATGACTGAGGCACCTGGAAGCAAGGGGTCAAAAGTAAGGAAAGCACACATCCCTGTCTGCTCCACTCGCAACTCCCCCAGTTTTCATTGGGGTGAGATAGGTGCAAATAGGTGAGGCTGAAGTCCGCAAATCTGCAAATTCTGGGATAACCCCTTGTGCCTGGCTGGTGGAGTAACTTCATTGGTCTGAGGATCAGCATATACTCAGTGAGATTGGCATGCGTGCGCATGTGAATGTGCATGCACATGCCATGTGGGTCACCAGGTAGGTGGATTCACCTCATCCTTTTGATGGCTGATCTCACTACATTGGAAACTTAAGTGTTCACCTTCTATAATGCAAGGGATTGAGGTCCATCCATTATTTGAATGGATGGCAGTATAGATGCCACTGAATGGATTCCAATTTGGATATCTGGTCCCCCTTAGTTGAAGCTTATGTATAATTGCTGGAAAGTTGTCATTTCATATATATGTACTACATATGTATTCATTGATATGGATAGATACAAAGTTTTCTATCTTTTGGATTCTTTGCTTTGTTTTTCTTTTGTCTATTAGAATAAAAACAATCCATGTGGGTCATAGACCTGCACCTGTGGGATGGACCCACCTCTGTACAAAGAAGCCCCATAGGGAAAATGTGCAGGGCCTTCTGAGTATCTCTTCCAACATAAAATGTTTGTAAGCAGGATGTAGATGTGGGGGACAGAGCAGTGAGTCAGAGGAACAGATTTTAAATACTGACAAGCAATGCGTTTAAGCTGCTGCTGTGGTGCTTCCTGATTAGATGAGGATGCTGCTCCTGGGAACAGCTAATCCTTTACTGAGCAAGACACGGGAGAGAAGAAATCTGTCCCTTGTCCAGTAGAGGACTTTGGGGAGGGACCATCGATCAGTCGCAGAGCACCCATTTTGCATGCAGAAGGTCCTTCAGCGAAAAGGACCAGGTGGGTGACGGAGAAGCCCTCTGCCTGAGACCCTGGAGCAGGCTACTGCCGGGCAGAGGAAAAGACAATCCTGAACCAGCGGACTAAACTGTCTCTTGTCTGAGGTCTCTTTCCACGTATGACCACCACTCTGATGTCTTCTCTTTTGCCCACAGTACATGTACTGGACCATGAAACAACAGTTGGCACACCATACCATCAATGGCTGCAATCTCAGACCAGGAGACCTCCTGGCCTCTGGAACAATCAGTGGACCAGTAAGCATTTGATATTTTTTTTTATTCGGATTATATGGGTATAGGCAGGGAAACCACAGGATCCCAGATTATCCAGCATAGTCTGAATCAGTACTTTTGGCCACCTACTGCCACGTTTCTGGTAAGCAACGCAAAGTGCAGGATGAAAGAAGGAAACAACAGTGTTTTTGCTGTTTGTTTTTTGTAAGCTGTACAGCAAATCCTGAAATGTACCACTCTCCTAATATTGTCCCCTGTTCCTCTTTGATTAGGATTCTTTGTTTTGTTCTGCTTTGTTTTTAAAGGCATTAGCTTAAAAGAGCCAGATTGTATAGGCAAGCATGTCTTCTAGGGGATAAAAGGGTTAAATTTTAGCCAAGCTGAGAACTCAGTAGACTGGATCAGCTGGTGGTAGAGCACCCTTGATCTTTCCTCAAACCAGTAACGCCAAGGGTAGAGCAGGTAGACATCTATACGGAAAACCGATGCTTAATTTCTGCCCCAATTTCTGCTTCTAGGATCCTGAGAGCTTTGGTTCCATGTTGGAATTGTCATGGAAAGGGACCAAAGCTATCGACCTTGGGAATGGCCAGTCTCGTAAATTTCTGCAAGATGGGGATGAGGTCATTATAACAGGTGTGCATTTTTGTTGGGGAGGAGGAGAGGGGGAATGAGAGTGATTTTCAGCCTAGAATCACCATCATTCAGCGGCCAGGACCTCACCACTCAGCAATGATTGCTGTAGTTGGGCACCTTTTCCCTCTTGTGAGGAACCCAAGCTACCTGCACAATTCTCCTCCTCCTTTTCTCCATTTTATCTCCACAAGGACACCATGAGTTCGGTTAGGTTGAGAATGGGTGAGTGGCTCAGAATCACCCCAAGAGCTGTATGGTCATATGGGAACTAGAACCCAGAGTTCTGAGTCCCAGACTAGCACTCTATCACCCCACAGTGGCTCTCTTTGGACCTGCTGTGGACTGGAACGCCCTTGAAACAGAAGACTGGGCTCTGTCATTTAGGATGCCGGCTGCCCTGCGTTTTGGTGGCCACTGAAGTGGAGAACGGCAGCATTAGCGTGAATAACAAGAGGGGGACAGAAGGACCACAGGTTCAGAGAAAGATCGCCTGGAATGTACTCGGGCAGCAAGCTAAGCAAATGGAACAGGAGAACTCACAGAGCAACGGGGTGCAGAAGGGGGAGCACGCACATCCCAACAGCCCATTGCTCTTCTGGAAGTCTTCAAGAGCATGGAGCTCTCTGCTGGCACTGGGTTGGCACTGAAACAGATCCAAGGAGCACGCCCGAGAGTGACAGCAGTGAAATAAACATGTTGAGCTGATGACAGAGAAAGGCAACACACATTATCCTACAGATATGCGCCTGCAGGGCCACTTTTTAAAAAAATGATCACCTCAGTGCCTTTTGAGCATGTTCAGAATTCCTTTCCCTCAAAGAGGAGCACACAGCAGAGCACTGCAGGGCAAGTGGCCTTAGTCACAAGCTGGGGACTTTCCCTGAGCAGAAGGATTGCTTTCTTGTTTGTTTGGAAGCTGACCAGGAGTGCCGTAGGCCCTGGTGTCTCTAGAGATGTTTGGGATGTATCTGCAAAGCCACTGGTGCCCCAGAAACACCTTTCCTAGGCTGGAGATGCTTCTGATCTTTTGTCATGCTGCGGTTGGAGGAATTCTCTTCAGAGGACAAGCTAGAGCTCCTGGAGACAAGCCTCATCGAGGGGCTGCCCATCCCAAAAGACCTGGAGGTGGATGCTTACCTTCTGCCTCCAAGTCAGAAAGTAAGCCGTCATCCAGCCTTTGAGAACAAAGCCATCTTGGAAGGCAGGCTGGAACAATCACTGAAAGAAGTGACTGATTGTTTGTGAGGAAAAAGCTTCATGTGCTCCTCACAAGGAGAATTTCTTCCAGAAGCTTCTGAAGTTCTGCAGCTGAGATCTGAAAGCTCCAACTCATAAGTCCTGGGCATGGAGAACTTCTGGAGTAGCAACTTTACACCAATTTTGGTCCCTGTCTAACTCGCTTCTGATTTCCAAGTCCTTCCTCTGCTGGGCCTCCTGTGAGTGAACCTTGGAGAATTTTGTGATACAGCATTTATACCTTTCCTTGCTTAGTGCTGTGCCCTCTGCTTTGAACCTTGCACAGTTTATTTATTTATTTATTTTATTTGGGAAACTTGTATGCCGCGCCATTCGCATAAGCCTTGGGGCGGCTTCTAACAAATAAATAACAATATAAAAATATAAAAATTGGATACATCCAGGCAATAAATAAAACCAATGAATAAATTAATTAAGATAACATTTAAATAAAAACTGTTTAGTACAGTTTTGATCAAAGAATTATATTGCAGTTTTGTATGCTTTCAAACCAAGAAGTGTATTTGAAGAAGGCTAAAACCTAAATTCTGATCACTGTATTCTGGTCAGCATTTTAACCTGGGAAGTGAAGATCATTGGCTTGCTTTTAAAAAGTGGACTGAGCAAAATCCTCAAACAACCTCCTTCTGGACTCCATCCAGAAACATATCCAGCTTTCTACTTTCTAACCTTTGTACCACCCAAACCGAATCATTTGGATTATCCATGGTTTGCAGGACCCGATGGATTAATGCATTCAATTCTCCATAGAGAAAGTCACTTAACCTTTACGGAAGGTCATTAAGATAAGCCAGTAACTATTTCTTGTTTGACTAGGCAGAGAGTTCTCTGGTTTATTTCTTTGTCTTTGTCTCTCTTTCTGCTGGAGTCTCTTTGCCAGCTACAATGGATGGCTGTGAGGAGATTATTGTGTACTAATGAAGGAACAGAGCGTTGATTGGCACTCTGCCAGTTGACTGTTCTACGATTTATTCTCTTGTTATGATTTGGAAGGCCATTGTTCATGCAACTTGTAAAAGAAAAAATCCAGAAAGGAGGAAAGGTGACTGCTTGTTCTTCTAGGCTTTTGAATGATCGATTGATAGACTTGATGGTGGTGGCTACTAGCTGCTCTCTACATCAAAATTGCCTAGGTATGAGATAAAGGAAATTTGTAATTTCAGTTGGAACAAGAGAAAGAGAAGTCTGAGATTTTGCAGTTGACCATTAAGAAGGAGAAGGGGGAAGTTCACTGAAGGATTAGTGTTTGCCCGCAGTATTCTCCCTCCCTGCATTTTTTAACTCCAAGAGACCTCACAGGGAAAATGTACAAGGCTGCGGTCCATCTGTAGGGTGCCATGTAATCCACAAACTGTCTGAAGCTTCTCTGGAAATGAATTCCTCAGCTTTGGTGCCACGGAAGAAGCAGCACAATTTCCACTTCCAGATAATCTGTCTTCTTTCATTGGAGGACTATTCATCTTAACAAGCAAGGGGGCTCACATGTGGCAGTGTATTCTGTCATATGTTCTTCTTCATGGTCCCTGTGCATCACACACATACGGGCTTTGCTGCACAGCCCAAGGCCAGGACCTGGGAAAACTTCCGCAGCTCAGCATCACAGAGCGGGGGGTGGGGGAGCCCTGCCAGACTCTGGGGGTCTGGATAAAAAGGGGGGTCTCCCACCCAGTCCCTCAGTTCCTTTTTGACCGTTCTTGCAGTCACTTTGCTGATCGGACCTTCTCACTTACCAGCTCACACTTTCTTCTCACCTTTCCTACAGGGGAAAAAAATCTCTTTTCTCTCTACTCCCATCCACCCAATACAAGGGTGCCCTTCGCGGCCCCTCGCTCCCTCTCTTGCTATCCTCTCTTCTTCCCGAGGGAAAGGGGGAAGGTTCTCCTTCTCCCTCTCTGTGTGCTTGCGTTAGAGCTGCATGTGGCTGACCCGGTTTTCCGTCACTGTGCCTCGTGCGCTGCCCGATGGCCTGCCACGGACAGCCATTCTTGGTTGTCTTGATTCTGCCTTGATGAGGGGCACATCGCCAAGATCAGCCCCCGTTGCCAAGTGTTTTAAAAGGAGATGCAGAGGCAGGGGGCTGCCTATCTGAGATTATGCTCTGGCAATGAGCCCTGAGTGCCGCCGATCTTCTCACTCCGAGGCTGGGAAACCTCCCTCCACAGAGGAGCCAGTGCGGCCGGCCAAGTGGCCCATGTGGAAGAGCCTGCTGCACACCACCAAGGCTACTGCCCCTCCATCACCCGGATCACCACACTACCTCCTGCGCACCCCAGATCCAGGGTCTCCCTGGAAGGCACCCCCGCAGGCCCGGACTCAGATTTCCCAGAGGCGCGCGTTCCATCTGTGGGCGGGAGCCAGTTGCCCATGTGCAACTCGTCGCCAGCACATGACCTGCCACCCACACCACCTGCGGTGCCCAACCACTGTGCCTCTGCTTTGTTGAAGGACCCATTGCTGGAGCGGCCAGCCACTGGCATCACATCATCACCTAGGGGACAATGGGGATCCCCTGCCCCCCCTCCTGGATCGGGGCAACCCTTCCACCTGGTCTCCAACCTCCTCGCACTTGGATGTCCAGTCCTCTGTCTCAGGCCTGCTGCGGTGGCCACTCCTCTCAAAAGAAGGCCCCACCCAACCTGGTCTGACACCAACTCCTTGGAGTCCTCACCCTTGGGCTCCTAAGAGGGCTTCTGTTCAAGGTACTTCCCAGTGCCCAACATGACGGAAGCATCAAGCCAATCTTGTGCGGGAAAAGTCTCGTGCGGGACTTGGTGCTCCCCATCAACAATGGCAATTCTGTTCTCTCCTCTACGTAGTCTGTCCTCTTCATAGAAGCTCACCTGGCCCCCAGCCCATGAAATGGTGAGGATCTGCCTCCCCACACACTCCCATGCGCACACCACATTCCGCACAGGCTGCATTTACTGCCCTCCTAACCGACGTCCCACTGCATGAGGCCTGCAGAGCTATCACATGGTCTGTGCCATTGATCTTTGCTCGGTGCTACCAGCTACGCATTCACGCCAGACCAGGCTGTGCATTCAGCAGGGCAGTCCTCTCTTCGATTTCTCGGTGATGACAGCCCCCTCCACAAAGGGTGAGCTCGCTAGTCGCCCACATGTGTGTGATGCACAAAGACCATGAAGAAGACAGTTGTTTACCTGTGACTGTTGTTCTTCGAGTGGTCATCTGTGCATTCACACAACCCGCCCTCCACCCCACTGGCTGTTGTCAGCACAACATGTACCATGTTGCTCCCTGGGCGCTGGGTGCAGCCACCTATGCCTTCTTTAAAGGTTTTATGGCACCCTCATGTGCCTGGGATGATGCGGTCTTCCAGGCAATGGAGGGACGGGGTGGGGGCCCCCGCTTCATATCCAGACCTGCAGAGAGGGCGGGGCAAGGCTCCCGCCCACTCCATGATGCTGAGCTGGGGAAGTTTCTCTATGCTGGCCTTGCACTGCACAGCCAAGCCCACAGATGAATGCACAGATGGCCACTCGAACGACAGATACAGGTAAGCAACCTGCCTTTCTTCAGTCATTTCTGTCCAGTTTCCTATGGATATTCTCTATCCTATTAACATTACTCAAGTAACATTCCCTATGGCTTATATATGCTTTGTTCTCCCTCAGGCTACTGCCAGGGAAACGGTTATCGTGTCGGCTTTGGCAAATGTTCCGGAAAAATACTCCCAGCCAGACCACTCTGATGCTCTTCCTTAGAGAATGAAGGTGATGGAGAAGGAAGAGAAAATTCATGTTGTGATATTTCTGGCACTGTGGTTTACAACGGGCACAAAGGAACCACCACAACACTGTTGAATATATCCTTCTGTGTTAACTTCTTGCCATTTTCTAAAGAACTCTATATTCTTGGTGTTTCCTCTAACGATAAGTTTTTGCAAGCATCTAATCCTCCATCTTATAAAGCATCTAATCCCCTGTATCTCACTGCATTCATTTCATTTAGAACCTATTGCAGAATCCATCTTTGGGGCCTGACAGCAGCTTTTCTGGGTCATTCGTTGCTAGATACTGATCTTCTTTATCTCTAAGCTGGAAAAGGCAATGCCTCTACATGTACCAACTACCTCTCTAAATATTCACACTAACCTCACAGTTTACACTTTCCCCCCCATATATACCTACACAGACATGTCAACCAAGAGTAGCCCTTCATGCATCTGGTTGCTACTCAAACACTTAAGCTGCCGTTAATCTGGTAGTGTTTAGGATTCTGCAAGGCACCTCTTGACATTCATCATGTTCACCTGAAGGGCAAATGAGCCACTTAAGTGTAATATTTTCCTTCTACAGGTGGCGAGCAGGGCTGGAGGTGGGGGTCGCTCCAAATCAGTAGCCTAGCACAGTGGGTAGGGTGGCTTTTGTTTTTCACCCCTTCCCAGTCCAGATCAGAGCGCTGTGCCTGCTAGTAAGGAGGCTTAGAGACTGTGGGTGTATTTCATTCTTAGAGTCTTCATAAACATCGTTTAGTGGAAAAGTTAATTGGAGGGGTGACAGTGGGAGTTCTGCTCTGCCCTGCAGAAGGACCTGCGGTGCAGTCCAACTTGCTAGCAGTGCTGCCCCTCTTGTGTTGGCCCCAGCATCTGGAGGCAGCAGCATCTCTGACAGTATCTCTTAAGTGATTGGGCAGATTTGCCCCAATTTGTCTCAGGAAATTCCAGTTGCTGACCTTCCCCTATCCTGTTGTCCTCCGGATGGTTTGGACTTCAACTCCCATCAGCCCCAGGCAGCATGGACAGTAGTCAGAAGCAATCACAGGTGGTGACCATGATGGTATGAAGGTGGACTCACGGTGGGAGAGAGTCCATTGCAGACATTTGGCCCAGGGCCCTCAGAAAACTTCCCAGCTTCCATTCCCTGCCATGACCTCTTGTTTCCTTCCGACAGCCACCTCTGCTCTTGTCCTGACACTGTCACTTCCTCCAGACAAGATCTGCATGCAAATTTGCTTCCAGTGCCGATGACCTATCACAGGAGGGAGTGGGGACGCATCTAAAATGAAGATGGATGGGGCAAATGCGATGGAACAGATAAATCAGTTGTAACAGAACACTGCCAATGAACTTGGCTGCTATTCAGCACATGCTGAAAAAATGAGATAATAAAAGGACCTCTTGGATGAGAGAGTCAGTCAATTTAACTTGGCCAGCTCTCCTGCATATGGCTTCTGCCAACAGTGTGCTGAAAGATGGACGGCTTTCTGACTTCTTGTTCACTCTCAGAGGGCTGTTTACCTTGCTAGCATGTATGAGTATTTGAAGCTACGCTTCCCCTAGAGAGGGGCGCCTTTGCTTTAATATCCTTGGGTTTGAGTGTGTGGGGCATGGACTGGAGAGTATGCCGCTGCCCAACGGCATGTCTTTTAAGTGCAGCTGGATGTGAAACAGCTTCACAATCAACCAAAACACCAACACCAAAGGTGCAGTGGAGGCTCGTGGCTGTAAAGCCGGAAGGTGGTATATCATCTGCAGTCTGAAGTTGCAGGGAACTGCAGTAACAGCTCATTACCATGGGGAGCTTCCTGAAGTTGCAGACTGCAGTCTGCTGGGCTACAGTGCCCCACTCACACTGGAACCATAAAGACCCAGGCATGTTTAACCTTTAAATTTCAGCTGCTTAAGTACAGAACAGGAAAGCTCCCTTATGACTCTCACTCCTTGCTCAGCATTGTCTGCTGACCTACAGGTGGTGCTGGACTCCAATTTCCACCAGCTCCAGACAGCACCAATGGTCAGGCACGCTGAGAGTTGTAGTCCAGTAACACCTAGAAGGCCATGTGCTTCTCACACCAACGTCTGTGAGTGTGTCCTAGCATCCGTCCGAGATTTTTCAAGCATTTTCCCCAGCCCTGCATGGTAATGCCAAGAAGAAGGATGTTTGAGAAATCTGCAGCGAACTCAAATTAAGTCCAGATTCCTCTGCAGCTATTGCACAGATTTCATTGTAGATCAGCTTTTCTAGGTTGCACAGAGTACGTTTGCATAAACTTTGCATACTTTGAAAAATTGTTGGGAATGAAAGGGAGTTATGCTGGGTGCACATTCCAAGGTCAGGCCTTACCAACGGTGTTACTGGTGTTCTTGGGGAAAGAAAAAGAAACCTTGCAGCAAATGTATTGCCTCATTCAATAACAAAATGATTCCCTGGTCCATAGGCCATATGAGTCCAGCCCAAGGATGGAAAAGGTTTCCAACTTTGTAGCTGGGGATCTGCACTGGCGCCCTCTCCCTGCTCTCCTGCTGCCAGCATGATAAAACCACAAGATCATAAGACCAACCTCAGAGAAAGGGTGAGCAGAGTATTCCTGAGGGTGGGGGAGAGAAGAGACCAGTGTGTGCCACCTGGTGTACAGCAGGACATGGCATGTACCTGTGGTGCTCCCACCTCCTTCCCTCCCTGTCCAAGCCATCTCCCTACATGGCCTTCATCACCTGCCCAGCCAATCTGTAGGATGCTCTCATTCTCCGTGCAGGAGGGTCTGTCCCCACTGGACTGTAGCCCAAATGACTTTAAGCAGCACTGCTCTGCTCTGCTTAAGAGTTCTTAGCTTTGATAGGCAAAGTGGGACAAAGAGTGTGCTGAAGTGAAGATGCAGCCTCACACTCTCAAGATGCAGCATTCCCAGCAAGCTAGTTTGGTTTTGGAGGAGGAGTTGTCAGGAAGCCGTGGACCATCAAGGGTACCAAGCAAGATTATTCACACAGTGCACAGTCAACTGTGGGATTCCCACTGTAACTAGAAGGAGATGTACTGATGGCTACCAACTCAAATAGCTTTGCAAAGTAACTGAACACATCCATGGGCCATAAGACTGTCAATGGCTACTAGTCCTGGGAGCTACGTATGTATCATGGCCAGTCCCAGAGGCATTGTGCTTATATGCACCAGAACACGGGACTAATGAGCCTTTTGTTCTACCCATATGTCTGCTATGTTCTTTATGGCCTATCTTTGGTCAGGAACAGGGAGCCCAGCATTAGGAAGGGCGGGAGATGCACAGGGGGGGATGGAAGTATTTACAGCCAGGATCCCCTGGTTGTGTGAGGTGACCTCTGTGTGCCCTGTGGAATCCACGTCTATGAGGTTCAGGAAGGCCAGTGGCAGGAATGCAGACAGCTAGCCTCAGACTGCTTTCATTCTCTCCACTGAAGAGAGCCATAATCATTGACTTATCTGTGAGATTATTAAAGTTGCATTCAACTGACCAGAGGCCTGCCCAAATCAACAGCAACGCCTGGCTTCCGTTCAGCAGCTGCCTGCTTTCTTGACTTTGGACTTTGATCGCACTGCAGTGTGATAAAATCTGGCTAACTGATAGATGAAATGCTATGTATCTCTTGGCACTCATTTCAGGGGGTCACTGTAAGAGTAAATTGGACCTCTAATGGTTGGTTGCAATATATCTTCACTTCCTAGCAGAACTGTTCCTGGCCAGGGTTTCAGCCAGCCAGCCAGGTTCTCAAAGTTTGTTCCTTTCCTACCTACCTGTCCTTTCTTTCATCATCATCATCCCTCTTATATTTATATCCCACCTTTCTTCCTCTTGCAAGGAACCTAAGGTGGCTTACTTGGGCCTCTTCCGTTCCCTGTCATCTTCACAAATTCCTGGTAAGGTAGCTTAGACTGAGAGTCACTGACTGGCACAAAGTCTCCCAGTTCCGCTCCTGCTGTCCACCAAGGAGGTCTGGGCTTCACTGGAATGGTTTTGCAGGACTGTCCCTTTGTTTGAGTTTGCTTTGATTGTTCACTTTGTTTTATTTTTATTTCTGCATATCTTAAGAGTGGCCTGAGGGTGCCCCCCTTTGGTTTCTTAGCAGTCATATTCTGGGTCCAGGTCTTTTAGCATGGGGGCATGGAATTCAGTATTGGCATGAACAATAAAATATCAAGAGTATCCTCATGTTTTGCACAGTTGTTATATTGATTTTTAATCAGCTTTGCAATGTACAGCTAGTGTGACTGAGGGATGGGGGAGAACTCTTGAGTTCTTTATTGCCAACCAGCTGCAAAATATCCTCACTATCATCAACACCACCCCTTTGACTCTCATATCCCAGCATCTTTAGCCACTAGTCACAGTGTGTGCCTTTTTCATTATTGCATTCCCAAATAATGATTTACAGGGAGAGAGGGTAGAGATTCTACTAGAAAAAGCATTCTAGTGCCTAGAGAGCCTTTGTGCTACATGATAGACAGTTGTAATCACTTTCCTCATTAAGTTTGGAGATCACTATAGCGAAATAGACTAAGAGAAAAAGGACTTTGCAATGTCTCCAAGCTTGATCTGCGGCAAACTATGATCTGTGTGTTCTCAGAGGAACCAGTGTTTTCCTGAGTATCTTGACAAAACAAAAACAAAAAGCTTCTATACTATTCTGTGTCCTCCTCCACAGTTGGTGATTATCTGTCCACATTTTCCACTCTCACCCAAGCTTCCACATGGCCCATGGTGCTTCATCCTTCTTCCCCTCCTGTTCCCCTACCTATCCTGTCAGTCATCCAGGTGTTGCTCCTCCCATGTGGATGTTGGGATGGCACTGTAAGGGTCCATGATGACTTTGGCACAACGGATAATCATGACTATCAGGAAGAGGCAAAGGAAGACGAAGCATGCTAATGTTAGCCCCTTGTCCACGTCAACAAGGGCAGGTTGTGGTGTTGGTCCTTCCATTGCTTCTGACTCTCCACATCTGGTTTAGCTCCTACTGCTACCATCATTTTACACCTGAAAAAAGAGGACAAGGATCAGGACAGTAACAAGGTGTGCCATGGAATCCATGGACCTGTCTATCCATCCCTCACTTTTGCCTGTGCTGGCGACAGCTGATGGGAGTTGTTGGACAATGCTTTGGGAGGGTTGCCTACAGCTGCCTTAGTATGGAAGTCAAGGTGCTTATGAACTGCTTAGAACCTGCCCAGCCCGAGATTAGCCTCAGTGGTTCTCATCTCTGGTCAACAGCAGTCAGGTTGGCAGTTGCCAGAGACCAGACCTTTACAGTGGTGGCCCCATATTTCTGAAATTAATTGGTCTTGCCACTAGAGAAGTCCCCCACCCCTGCCAGAGCATCTCTGAAATGGAATTTGGCCCACAGTCTGAAAAAAGTTCCAAGAAAGTTCCAACTGACCTGAAGTACCGGATGGGCCACTGTTGTGTAAGGAATGTTGTCTTGTCCCACACTCTGGATCGTGCCAAGAAGTGATGATTGAGCCCACTATGACAAAAGAACAAGAAGGGTTAATGCTACTCTTAAGACATCTCCATTAGCAACTAATACCTGATGTTTCTATTTAATGTATCAGCCCCTGCCCTGGATATGATTAACACACGCAACAGTTGCACTTGCACACAGATGAGGCTGTCTTTAGCTATTTCTCCTTCTTAAAGTATTTGCAAGGACACATCGCACTGAAATTATCCCAGCCTCAACTACTTCCATCAAGGTCATTAGAAAAACCAGTACAAAGAATGTTGAAAAGTAAAATAAATAGCAACATGGTCACATTGGGGGGAAATCCATTGGAATCACAACTTTATCCATGAATTCTATGGCCTCCCAGTGCTGTCTTGCAAGCTGTAGGATTATTCACATTCCCAGCTCTGAGCATTTTCCCCAAACACACATTTTAAAAGTGTGCATCCTTCTGGAGTGTGTATCCTGTGTATAAGTTTCACAAACTTGCCAATGTGCAAACTTGGCCCACAAAATGGGCTGAGAACAGGGCAAGTCCCATCTTGAACCAGTGGAATTGGAATTCTTGTATCACCTTTCTGTGTGTGAATGCAGCTTTAAAGCCACCACACAACTGTGTGCAAATTTTGCCTAGGAAGAAAAGTCTTTGCTATAATCCTCAAGCAACACTGTCATCTGCCATACAGCCTCTCTCCTGCTGTTACATAATCCATCAGCCATAACCTTATTTGTCCTTGGGATCCAATGCTCCATTTCTTCCCTACTCCTACTCTCCCAACTAACACACACACACACAGAGACTCTTTTCCATTAGATGATGTGAACACAACTTTATCATGGTGCCACTTAGCCTAATCCTTGGTTTGCCTCTCAGGGCTTCACAAACATCCATTCAAGAGAGACCTGAAAATGATAGCATTACCTAGTTGTCCTGCTTGTTGCTGTAATTTAAATATCTCATTTAATGTGCAATTGTATGGTTTTCCAATATTCCCTCCCAAGAAGAGAGAAGGTCTTTTCGGTGGTTGCTCCCAGACTGAATCTTCCTCCCAAGAAATGCCAGGTTTGTCCTTCTCAGCCAGCCTTCTCTGAGCAAAGAAAGACCCTGCTATTCAAGAGGGCCTGTGACTCGTAAGTGGATCTGTTGGTTGGAGTGCTGTTTTTTTAATCCCATAATTGTTACATTTTAATTTCATTTTAAAGAGTTTTAATTGGTTTAAACTTTAAAAAAAACCCATTTTGTAAGCTAGTTTGAGGTGCTGCATAATGAATGCATAAAGCAATAAACTGAACTCTGTTGTTGGGAAATGCATCCCATCCTCATTCCCAACACCCCCCAACACCCGCAACCGGGTTCTATGAGGAATGCAGCCAAGCTGAATGTGAAGAAGGAAGACAGATTTTGAGTAGGAGCATTGCGAGCAAAAGAAAAATGTTAGCAACCCACTTCCATGCCCTGTTGCAAGACAAGTCCATCCAGCAGCACCCCATAATGTTCCTGTGAGTCAGTGCTGCTTAGTTACCTGCCACTGATGCAAAATTACACCCACAAATCTGCCTCTAATTTTCCTTTCAGGTCCATTAACCACCAGACTGGATGGTGAATCATACAAGATCGTGCAAGTTTGATTTTAAAAGTCTTGCTCCTCTGATTATGAACTATAGCTGATGGATAAAGACAGACCAGTGACATCAGACTGGCTAGAAAGCAATAGGTTTGAACTGCAACTTTACTCAGTAAAATTAATTGTCTTTTTCTGCCTGAGAAGAAGAGGAAAGGAGGGAAGTGACCAGCTCCTTACTATAGCAAAAGCTGCAGAATTCTTTTGTCTGATGGTCTTGTCTTCCTTTTTTCTGTTTCAGGAATTCCCTTTTATTAATGTTGCAATTTGGAGAACTGCATCAGCTCTTACATGGCCCATTTAATTAATGACAATTCTCTCCTCCTGTCTTTGAGGCCTGTCTCCCTGCCACTTCAGTATGTTGAACGTGTGGGTCTTCTGGAAATGAAAGTGTATTTATAGAGCAGCTCCAAAATGGAATTTACAAATCAGTAGTCTAGAAATGGAACACTTTGTAAGGATGGCTCTTTCGTGTCCTTCAGGCAACCCACACCAAAGGATTATGTAGTCTGGTGCTTCCAATATGACCATTTATTGCATTAAAGGTCTCCTGATGGTTAGACGAGGCTTATACACAAGGTTTTAAATTAAAAATTCCATTTGGAAAAATACAACATCTGAAGTTCAGAATGAGGAGCAAAATCAACGACTAATATGCCAAATGCATTTTTAAATGTGCAAACATACTATTATTATATTACATTTACATGTTGCCTGTTTTTCTCTTGTGAGGAACTCAAGGTAACTTACAGAGTTCCACTTTATCCTCACAACAACCACCCTGTAAGGAAGCTCAGGCTGCCGCAAAGTCACTCAATAAGCTTCACTGAGAACCAGGTCTCTAGTCCAACACTCTAACCACTTAAAGAAAAGGAGAGAAATGGAAGTATGGCTCTTGCCTTTTGGCTGCTGCCTCTTGGCAGAGCAGCGGAGCAGCAGAGGCTGAGGCTGGGAGAGAGAACTGAGGGTGGCCAGGGGACTGGCAAAGGCAAGGTAGGGGCTGGGCAGGGGAGCAGGAGAACAGGAGTAGCGGAGAGGAAGGGGGCGGGGCCAGAGAGGCTAGAGGGGCCAGGAGGGAGCAGAGGGGTGGAGCCAGTGGCCTGAGAGGCTTATAAGGTTGCGCTCAGCCACTGCAAGCCCTTTTGGCTCTTGCCTCTTGGCAGAGCTGCAGAGGCAGAAGGTGGGAGAGTGTGCAGAGGGTGGCCAGGGGACTGTTGAAGGCAAGGTCAGAGGAGTGGGGGGGGGGGCAGGAGCAGCGGAGAGGGTGGGAGGTGGGGCCAGAGAGGCCAGGAGGGAGCAGAGGGGCGGGGCCCGAGGCCTGTGAGGCTTATAAGGCCACGCTCAGCCATTGGTGGTGCCTTGTCTGCATCCCTTGGCTGCAGCCTGGGCTGCCCGGGGACTCCCTTCCCTGGGGACAGGTTTTTATTTATTTATTTATGTATTTATTTTTGTTTTGTTTTTTAAATTTGTATTTTGTCTTTGTGTGTGTGATTTTTTTGTCTGGGAGAACTGGGCAAGTGAAGAGTAGCGCAGGACAGACCAGATGGGGGACCAAGGCAGGGTTTCTGAGGGGTTCCCAGTGTCAGGCCAGGCAGTGGCTTGGTGGGAATCACAGGTGTTGCTGATGGCTGCAACAATTGCAACATGTTTGCCCTTCTCCCTCAGGTGAGGCAGGGATACACTTGCAAGCCTGTGACCCTCCTAGAGTAGGAAGTGAGGTGTCCGAGGGCTGAGAGCTCTCCGGGCCCCCCGGGAGCAGCCCCCCTCCAGACAGAGGGTTGAGGGGGGCCCATGGGAGGAACAGCCGGGGAGACATGGAGGCATTTCACCCACAGCAGGAGTAGCAAAGTAAACAGAGGGGTATCACCTGTTTAGAAAGGACAGGAAGGGAAAGGGGCGGGGGCATCACTTTATATGCCAGGGAAGGGATAGGATGCAGTGAGATAGAATGCAGTGCAGAAGGGGATCTGGTAGAGGCCGTCTGGGTGAAACTAAGGGGTTTTGACAGAGCGAGGGACCTGACAGTGGGGGCATGTTATCGCCCTCCAGGTCAACTTGAGACCCTGGATGATGTCCTGACAGGCCAGATTCTAAGGATATCTCAGGGGAGAGACACAGTAATTAAGGGAGATTTCAATCTCCCGGATATTAGTTGGGAGACTCACTCAGCGGTGACAGCCAGGTCACGTCACTTTCAAGATGCTATAGAGGGAGGGTTTTTCACGGTGGCCGGTTTGCAGGGAAAGCCGTATGAAGCGAGACTGAGGGAACTGGGTCTTGAAAGCCTGGAGAAGAGGAGATTCCAAGGGACCTGTTGGCGACATACATGTATGTGAGGAGGTATCACACGGAGGTGGGTAAAGAACTGTTTTCCCCTGCAGAGGAGGGCAGGACGCATTCCAACAGCAAAGTTCAGGGAACCAAGGTTCAATTTGGATGGCAGGAAGTACTTCCTGACAGTTAGGGCCCCGAGGGTATGGAATGGGCTTCCACAGGAGGTGGTTGAGGCCCCACTGGTGAGGGTGTTCAAGGATAGGCTAGACATGCACATGGTAGGCATGTTGTGAGCAGAGCTGGCTGGAGCTGGGGGTCAGACTAGATGGTCCGGGAGGACCATTCTAACTCACTCTGTTTCTGTTAGTCTTCTGGTTAGGAGACACAAAGGATGGAAGGAACTGGAGAAGCAAACTAACATGCTTCTAGTAAACTAGCATGGTTGGCTGGGGAATGCTGGGAACTTCTGGATTTTTTCTGTCTCAACATGGATGGATGGAATAGTGCTGTCCTGAAATCTAGAAAATCTCTCTAGTCCAAATGTAATATTGCCCGTCAATGTGACTGCAGCTGAGCTATAGCATT